CTTCAGCTCAAGGCTAGCGCTCTACCACTTGAGCCACAGCGCCACTTCCAGCTTTTTCTGCTTATGTGGTGCTGAGGAATCGAACCCAGGGCCTCCTGCATGTGAGGCGAGCGCTCTATCACTGAGCCACCTTCCCAGCCCCTAAAGTAATTATTTTGTATGTGTATTTAATCATGGATGCAATTCAATACATCTTCCTGCTCTCCTTGTTTTGTATTAATCGGGACAGAGGGGAATTACAAATCTGGGCCATTGGAAAAAGATTTAGAACTGGATTCTAACTCTCCCCCCCTTTCTCTGTCTCTCTCTCTGTCTCTGTCTGTCTGTCTGTCTCTCTCTCACACCAGTCCTGGGGCTTGAACTCAGGGTCTGGGCACTGCTGCTGAGCCGGTTTTGCTCAAGGCTGGTGCTCTACCACGTGAGCCACGGCTCTACTCCAGCTCTTTCTGTGTGTGCGGTGCTGAGGAATGGAACCCAGGGCTTCATGTCTGCCACATGAACACTGCCACCTTTCCAGCCCCTGGATGGATGGCTGGGGGGAGAAAAAAAGCCCAGATGAACACAGAAGCAATCTCACAACCTGTTTATTTTCGCGCTATATCTGCATGAGGAAAACAGATGCTTAGACGATCAGGATTGTGTACAACTAAGTAAAATCGAGAAAAAGAATAACCGTGTGAATCTCAAAGTGAAGAAATGCGGCTGAAGGCGGTGTTACCACAGAGCCAAGCAGGAGCCGGCGGCTCAGGCCTGCCATCTTAGCCACTCAGGATGAGGCTGCGATCTGGAGGATCAAAGTCCACCCGGGAAAAAGGAAACTCCCCGAGAGACTCGGATCCCTTCATGAATCTGCCAAAGGCCAGAAGCGGGGGGTGCGGCCCGGGTGGTGGAGCTCCAGCCCGGGGCCGGCGGGGGACGGGTAGGGGGCCCCCCAGCTCAGTCTCCCTGGGCCACCCCCCTGGCCACGGTGAAGCGGGTCATGCGCAGAGCCTCCTCGTAGCCGGGGAGCGCGTCCGGACAGCAGGGCGGCGGCGCCGGGGCGGCGTGCGGCTGGGCCGCGGCC